TCTCGTGCCACAAAGTTTCAATAGGTGACAGATCTGGACTGCTAGAAACCCATTTCAAAAGTGGTACATTATTTTCTTCCATCCATTTTATAGCCTTTTTTGAGGTATGGCACGCTGCACCATCTTGCTGAAACACAAAATCTTATAAACAAGTTGTGCAACTTTAGGGTTTTTACTTCACTTTTTTTATAAGAAAACTTACCTTGCAAGTGCTAAATTCCAGTTTGTGGGCCTCTCTATGAGTTGTGGACTTCGAAATTATCCTTCCAACAGCGTCACTCCACAGAGCACTTAATTGTAAATAATTGGCATGCCTGTTAGTTTTCACGAGTATTCTTCTTAATGCTCTTCGGTCAGCATTTGTGATATTACTTTTTTTCACATATGGTGGCTTAATCTTAACCGAACCAGTTACGTTATATCTTCTAACAATATTTCTCACACTGAACCGCGATAAGTCTAACAAAGTTGCAATTTCTGAGTTTGATTTCCCAGAATTAAAAAATTTAATTATCGGTAACCGAATTTTCTCACTAATAAGCTTTCCTCTACCCATTTTGAAAACCTTAACTACCCAAGGTTTTCTAAAATAAAAGATAAAATTTCACATTGCTAAGAAGCTGATTTTTGACGTTTAAAGCAACTTTAACTGCATTAAAAATGGCTCGTGGTAAAGCTGTTTCTGACGAAATAAGAAAAGTGATCATTCACTTGCATTTAAAAGGCCAAAATGCTTCCCAACAGTGTTAACAAATCGAGGTATATAGTTTGACATATTATTATATTGTACAAAACAACGGGATCTGTGCCTCAAAAACTCGGAACTGGAAGTCGCCCGCGTTATTCCAATCCCGAGCCTTAAAATGGATTATCACGGAAAATTGCCGTAATAATTATAACGAATTGAAAATATTATGGACCACCACAAAAAAGTTTTCAAGAGCAAGTTGTTGGATTGGCCGCGGTGGGCCCCAAGAAAGGCCACCAAGGTCCCCAGACCTCAAAAGTTTAGATCTCTTTTTGTGGGGCTCTTAAGACACTAGTGTACACAAGTCCCATTAACACTGTAGAGGAATTAAGAGAAAGAATAGTTGCAGCTTGTGATGGAATAAAAATCCCTCCAGGAATATTTCAACGAGTGCTCAATTCCATGAGGAGGAAGGCGGAAGCATGCATACTAAGTGAAGGGGGCCGTTTTCAACAATTTTTGTAATCATTTCGGTGGTTTTAATGTTATGTTTATGTTGTCAGTTGTTGTTGTTCATTACCGCTAATGTGGTTAATTTTTCAAATTAAATTAATAATAATATTACAAGTTAGACAATAGAACGGTTTTTATTTTTTTACTCAAAAATGGCGCATCGAAGGAAAACAATTAAAGAGAGATCATTTGTTTTAAATTGAACGGGGAATTCAAAAACAATTTTTATTTGGTAAAAAACCATTGGCGTACCATTTTTTTCTTAAAAAATATCGAAGTCAATACCCGTACGCACACCACTGTTGAAGCTAAAAATTATTTCTGCATTGAAAAATATGCAACTTTATTAACTTTCACTATGTACTAAATATCAGTTGAATATCTGAAGAGGTTCTGAAAATATTAATTAATTTCCATTTTTTTTTCCTAAAACTTCAACACCCCGAGTTTTTGTAAGGAAACGTTTTTGGACCATAGCTTATAAAGCAAACTAACATAAATTTTTCATGTAGATTCACACCCTTAAATATTCGCATATCATTAAGGAACACCCTGAATATCTTTGCCTAATGGCCCGCCCTATACCTAAAGGTCATTTTCAACTGCTACTTGAATAACTGTTGACATAAATATTCATCAGAACTGAAGTAAGAAATATGTTTCAGGGTGCAGTACCACGATGCTGAGTAATATGTAAAGCACACGTATGTTCATCTGCCATATCCTGTTATGGCGAGTATCACTCAATCTATGAAGTGTAGATTAACCATAATATTTGCCTTTTTTGTGTTGGACTCTTTAAAAATTTGATGTTTAGTTTTTAGTCAAGTACAAGTGTGTCACGATCTATACTAAAAATCGAGTGTTTTCTTCACTCTTCTTCCTACGGATGTTTGCTAAACAATTTTGGTCGTATTAGTGTATGTAGGAAATAAAACAGTCACTCCATATTTGCAACAGCTTAGCATCACTCATAAACATGAAAAAATATTGGAGGCATATTAATAATGCATGCTACTAAAGTACGTATTTTCTGTATAAAAAATGGATCGTGGCATATAGCCTGTAATTTTATTATTTTTATTATACGTATATCAGTTATTGATGACTTTATAAAGATATATGTTTATTTTATAATAAAAGATATGCGTGTAGTACTTCTATACAAGCTGCTTTTTCGTAGTGTTTCAACCCATATTGAAATATATGAAATTGAAGAAACAAAAACAAAAACAATTTTTTTTAGGTGTTGATAATGTGATCTAAAAATATAAAAAATCTTTTCCGATTGGAAATATTCTACCACTTCATCTAAAGCTTCATTATCGTTTAAATATTCCAAATCGAAAAAAATGATTTTAAATTTTTAGTTAACCATATTAACAACTAAATAAAAGCTTGTATTTTTTATTTTAGTCATTCTTCAATTTTCGCATAATTTTCATATAGGTACATATTCCATTAACAGGACTCCATAAAACATCTTTATTTGTCTTCGATATTTCGATAGATATAAATCATCTAACGATAAATCGATATTTTGCGGCGATCATCATATTCTATGGAATTTAGAATTACGTTATTCGCTTAGTCTGTTCTCATTAACCCCTTTCAGTTGATACCATATCAAAGCGGTGACCATGGAAATTATAAATCGCTGTTTAGCTGCCGCCGCCATATTGGATTTAGGATGTCGTCACTTTGCTTATTATGTTTCTCTCATGAATCCCTTTCATTTGATACCCATAATATAGGTGTAAATATGGAAATTATAAATCGCAATTTTGTGGGGGTCGCCATATAAGGTTTAGAATTACGTCCCGTTACTTGCTACGTTTGCTTCATAAAGTTCTTCAATTTGATATCTACATAACAGGGGATGACTATGGTAATTGTAAACCACATCTTGGGGCGGTCGCCATGTTGGATTTAGGTTAACGTCACTTTGCTGATTATGTTTCCCTCATCAAGACCTTTCATTTGATACCGATAGTATAGGTGTGAATACGGAAATTATAAATCGCTATTTTGTGGTGATTGCCTGCTATGTTTGTTTCACGAAGCCCTTTAATTTGATATCTATATCACGGTGGTGACTATGGTAAGTATAAACGCCATTTTGACGCGGCCGTCATATTGGATTTAGCATGATACCCGTCATTGTGGTGTCTGAGAAAAATGTGATTTGCCATTTCGGATTTAGAATAACGTCACTTTGCTTATTATGTTTCCCTCATCAAGACCTTTCATTTGATACCGATAGTATAGGTGTGAATACGGAAATTATAAATCGCCATTTTGTGGTGATTGCCTGCTATGTTTGTTTCACGAAGCCCTTTAATTTGATATCTATATCACAGTGGTGACTATGGTAAGTATAAACGCCATTTTGACGCGGCCGCCATATTGGATTTAGCATGTTCCCCATGTCATTTTGTGATGTCTGAGAAAAATGTGATTTGCCATATCGGATTTAGAATAACGTCACTTTGCTTATTATGTTTCCCTCATCAAGACCTTTCATTTGATACCGATAGTATAGGTGTGAATACGGAAATTATAAATCGCCATTTTGTGGTGATTGCCTGCTATGTTTGTTTCACGAAGCCCTTTAATTTGATATCTATATCACAGTGGTGACTATGGTAAGTATAAACGCCATTTTGACGCGGCCGCCATATTGGATCTAGCATGTTCCCCATGTCATTTTGTGATGTCTGAGAAAAATGTGATTTGCCATATAGGATTTACAGTCATGTCACTTTGCTTATTATGTTTCCCTCATCAAGACCTTTCATTTGATACCGATAGTATAGGTGTGAATACGGAAATTATAAATCGCCATTTTGTGGTGATTGCCTGCTATGTTTGTTTCACGAAGCCCTTTAATTTGATATCTATATCAAAGTATAAACGCCATTTTGACGCGGCCGCCATATTGGATCTAGCATGTTCCCCATGTCATTTTGTGATGTCTGAGAAAAATGTGATTTGCCATAAAGGATTTAGAATAACGTCACTTTGCTTATTATGTTTCCCTCATCAAGACCTTTCATTTGATACCCATAGTATCGGGGTGAATATGAAAATTATAAATCGCCGTTTTGTGGTGGTCGCTACATCGGATTTAGAATGATGTCGCGTTGCTTGCTATCTTTGTTTCACGAAGCCCTTTAATTTGATATCTATATCACAGTGGTGTCTATAATAATTATAAACGCCATCTTGGATCTAGAATGACGGCACTTTCATCATCGCGCCATTTCATTTAATACCTCGTATCTTAGGAGTAACTTTGTAAATGTAAATCGCCATTTTGTCGCCGCCGCCATATTGGATGATACCCCGATGAGTGTCTGAGAAAAATGTGATTTGCCATTTTGGATTTAGAATGGCGTCACTTTTATTTAGCATTTTGGCTTAGGAAGTGAAAGTAAAGCTGTATTTAATTTCACATGCATATGCATTCAAAAAATAGCAACCAGTTTGAGGAGAAAGAAAAAGTTAAATTTTGCACACCTCTACTATTTATGGTATGTGTATAGAGAAACCACTTTAATCGACAAATAAATGAAATAAAAATTATAACCCAGTATCAATAGACGGTTTTGTTTTTCTTAAAATCGGTCATGCTTCAAATCTGTACATGTGGTTGGTGCCATATTTATAACTATTCGTATTCGTTGGTCGGTGAGAAAGAGGTTAGGGATGAGTGATGGGGATCACGAATATTTCGATTCGAAATACCCCATCACTTTTCAGTCTCCGCCTCGATTGTCAATTGTCATTTTCCTGACAGTTCACAGATGATTAAAATCATTATTGATTTATTTTTTTATAATTTTGTAGAAAATAAAAAATAATTTAAGGTAAACAATTAAGTTCACGAGGACACCAAGACTATATCGGATAAATATGACATCCAGGTAAGCATTAACATACCATTTTTACAGTTTTTAGATAGTTATAAAAAATTATGAAGATGTTCATAATACCTGCCCTTTTTGGAAAGTAGGCGTTACATGTAAAATTGTTTCATTTGTTTTGTGGAATGTTAATTATTCACAGTAGTTCTTTTCTTTAGGCAAACTGGTGGAGTTCCTTTCTTCAGGTTTTAGAATATCAGGCACAATAGGTATGATATCATATTGCTCTTAAAGGATACAGTAGCAAACATAACTATAATTTCTTAACAAACTTTATACCATGGAGGTTTTAACTTGTAGCTATGCATTCATAGTACATGATTTATAGTGGGCTGTATAGCCCAGTATGCAGTAGAATCTGCAGTGACTCACAGTATTGCCATATTAGGTGGGCATCTGCATCTATAGTCAACGCCAAACAAAGTGGCGTGCACGTCATCACGATAAAAATTCCTCGACCTAATGCCTAGGTTTCTATCACAAACAATTGCTCTATTGAAGTTTCATATTAATGTGATATATAAATTGTAAAATGGTCATTACTCTCTTATTATGGTTAATAGTCATATAAACATTGTTATTAAAATATCACATAAGTTGCTTTCTGATAAATTTAGACGCATTATGCGAAATAAAATGTTTTGCAAACGCTCCAATCACTTATCGACATGTAAACGCACTAAACCGATTTCGCAGCGTTGACACATTGTCACCTTGAAACTTATTTAAACTGGGAACTGACATTTGTATTAATTTTGACACTGAATCAATTTGTGGCATTTCAAATCTTTATAAATCCTTTGGCCCCGCATACTGTAAATCAACAACTGTTTGTTTCAAAACAAAATTATTCATTTTACGAGTAGATAAAGGCAATTTTGGTATATAAAGATGCCCAAACAGTTAAATAGTCGGTGTAAGGAACTCGTGGCCTCGTTAATGCACTACTTTGAGCAAGAAAGGGACAACAACGGGCCTTTGTTGCCTTTAAATGCTGTTCAAGAGGTAGGTTACTAATAATTATATGTAATGTATATTAATAATAGTGAAATTTTATTTCATTTTTTGTAGCGTGTTGCTGCTGCTTTAAAAATTAGTTTAAGTTAGTTAGTCGTATTTCCGAGGGTGTGAAAAGTGATGCAAATTTAGAATCGCCCAAGAAAAAGCGGAGTTATATTAAACGTGTAACCAACACAGCGACATTGGATACAAGTGCCATTCGAGAAGTGATCTATAATATGTATCACAAAAGTAAGATCTTATTATAATAACTTATCAGAAATTTGCATTAATTTGTTAACTAAATTATAATGTCATATTACACATGGTTTCAGAAGAACAAGTTACGATACAAACTCTCGATTAAGAGATAGGGCATTATTTGATGGTAGTGCCACGTCTTTAAGGCGGTTGCTTAGAGATCTTGGATTTAAGTGGCTTAAGGACAATCCGCGACGAGGGCTCATGGAACTACCAAGTATAGCTTTGAAAAGGGTGGAATTTCTAAGGTAATACAATCAAGCCAAGGTTGAGGCCTTATACCAGTTTGTCTTCCTCGATGAAACTTGGATATTTCAAAATGGGACCATAGGTCGCTCTTGGCAAAATGGAAACCAAAAAAGCGTGAAAGCTATTAAAACAGATGGTAAAAGGTATGTACTTTTACACAATTTGCACTATAAAATTTAAAACTAATATATTTTAGATACATTATATTACATGCTGGAAATGAAAATGGGTTTATTGAGGGTAGTGAAGCGATATTTTCTTCGAAAACAAAATTGAGCGATTACCATGGAGAGATGAACCAGGACAATTTTTTGAAATGGTTTCAACATCAGTTATTAGAAAAATTGGAGAGTCCATCTATGATTATACTGGATAACGCCCCTTATCACAGCATGATATTGAACAAAGTGCCCAACAATGCATGGACAAAAAAAAATATCCAAGACTGGTTGACAAATCAAAACATTCCATTTTTAAACACAATGTTTAAAACAGAGCTATTGAGTATTGTTGCTCGGTACATAATGCTTCTTAATTATATATATTTTGGTCGACAGTTTATATTTCTTTTGTTTATTCCTAATCTTAAAATAACTGCTTTTTTAGAAACAAACCACATAAAATATACGTGATTGATGAATTGGCGGAACAACATGGGCACAAAGTTCTTCGTCTGCCTCCTTACCATTGTATATTTAACCCTATTGAGTTAATTTGGGGCATAGAAAAAGGTTACTATAACAGACATATTGGTAGAGATGGTAACAGTGAAAAAGACTGTTTGGATATGTGGAACGAGGCTCTACAAACGGTTACCCCAGACATGTGGAAAAATAGTGTTCGACATACTGAGCAAGAAATTTTTAAATGGTATGAAAGAGAACGAATTTTTGATCGACCAGACATCGAACCTTTAATAATCAACTTTGAGAGTGATGAAGATTCAGATTCAGACAGCGCTGAAGAAAGAAACTCCGACTAACTTTATTGTACAGAAAAAGCTTACACCAGTAGCTTACCTAATTTTAGAATGCATTTTTCTGTATGAATTCTGTAAAATAAATACCATGCATAAAATTTTGTAGGACCCCATTTGGATTTTTATTCAGTACCTTTAAGCTATCAATTAAATATGGTAGTTTCATAGTGTCATCTGATCAATAATTGTCATACTTAATGATTATGCAAGTACAGATCTATAATTTTATTATACTATTATTTTTGTTCTCATTTGAGGTTAATATTGCTTATAAACCTAGATATGTAAATAATAAATTTTATTATTTTACAAAAAGTTTGGCAACAATGTAAATTTTTCAACACACCCACCTTGATGACGTGCACGCCACTTTGTTTGGCGTTGACTATACTATTTGTTGCTCTTAGTTAAACATCTCGTCAGTTTGATAGTCTAGTCTATCAGGTCTGGCTACCTAGATACCAAACGTGTTTACACATACAATATTTGCCATAAACAAAGAATACAAAATGTCATGTTCAAGAATCATCTGAGGCCTATTTTACATCTATACATGAACAGTGCTAGGGTTTTGATTTGTGCCTTTAGAATGATGCACTGTGTGTTTTGTTAGAGATCTGACAAATTATAATTGGTTGTCATCAGATTTGTGTTGAACTTTTATGCTCCTTTATTTGAGTTGTTTTGGAATAGCACCTGAATGCACATAGAAATAGCCGATCCATACATAAATGAAGCGTTTGACTACAGCTAGATTGTTTGCAAACACTCAAAACCCTTCCTGGGCTTACCCAACAACAATGATATGAAAAATACAGCATTAAGGATCTCTGTAAAAAAATGGAAGCGTTGTGGATGTAACTGCAACCTTGTACCATTGGATAATGAGCCACAACAAGAGATTGTTTCATTACAACTACTACTGTAGAATATGTCCATATCAAGGAACTTTGGGCAAATTTTAGAATTACAGTGGACCTCCGGTAATTCAACAAACATTGTGCAGGGCAGTGTCAGACTATCGAATTTGTCGGATTATAGAACACTGCCTAAGACCCCCTATAGTCCGGAATTTTTTACAAAAGAGTACCTTGTAATCCGACAAATTACATATCCAGTGGTAAGATTATATATGTTATGTATATGTATGTACTTTGAAGTACAAATCATACATAGTTTATGTATGTTGAATTTAGTACATTAAATAACAATAGAGAGCTTACGTTTTACTATAAAATTAAGCAAGAATTATTAATCAAAATCATTAATGAATTTATCAAATTATGAAGCTTGGAAATATTCATCAATTTTTTTTGTTTAAGGTTGTTATAACGCGTGATCGGAGCTTTGTCCCTCAGTCTTCTCAAAAGTAAAAGTTCGTTGTAGGATGTACCATTCGTTTCAGCCCATTGTAAACCTAGCTCAAAGGCGTTAATTGCATCTTGTGCTGTGACTTGTGGAGCAGTTGCAATCACGTAGTCGTTATTTTCCTGATTGTTTGTTGTATAATTAGAAACCTCTTTTATAATCTCTTCATCAGACATTTCATGAAAAACATTTTCCTCTTTATCCATTCCACGGCACCAGATTTTCAAATCTTCTGGACTTATTAGTGTTTCAGTAGCGACTTGTTCTAGAACTTCCAAAGTAACACTGATTTGTGGAACGTTGCTAGGAGTGGTGACTATATCTGGACATAACTTTTTCCAAGACGATTTAATAGTTGATGACGGTAACGCATTCCACGACTGACAAAGAGCAAAAACCAAGTCTTTCATATTAAATTCTTTTAAAGTTTTTTCTATTGGTTGGTCTTTTGATACGGCTCTCAGTTGTAGGTTTTTCTTATAGTCTTGCTTGACAAACTGAATGATATTCTGGTCCATTGGTTGAATATGTGCAGTGGAATTTGGCGGAAGAAACATCGCAGTGATGCATTTATCCTCAGTTGTTAGTTCTTCTTCAGACGGATGACCGGGAGCGTTATCAAGAAGTAACAACGCTTTTTGAGAAAAATTATGATCTTTTAACAATTTTCTAATTTCAGATACGAAGCATTCATCAAACCGCTTTTTAAAAAGACCTTTTGTCATCCATGCACTTTTTTGTCCATAATAGTGTACAGGTAAATCAATGTTTTTGAGTGCCCGTGGCTTATTAGATTTCCCAATGACCATCATCTTAAGCACGAGTGTGCCCGCAGCGTTAGCACATGGTAGTATGGTTACACGCTCTTTACTTACTTTTCGTCCAGGTACGGATTTTTCGTTACAAGAAACGAAAGTTTTGTTAGGCATCACACGCCAAAAAAGCCCTGATTCGTCTGCATTGTATACCTGTGACGGGTCAAGATTTAAATCGTTCACCTTTTGCAAAAATCTTAATTTAAAGGGCTCTATGCAGGTGGCATCGTTAGAAAGTTTCTCTCCTGTGATGGTGATTAAACGTATGCCACGACGACTTTTAAAACGTTCTAGCCATCCTTTGCTGGCCACAAAATCATCTTTGTTTGTTATTTCCTTATAAAAAGCTTTCATAGCCAACATGGGTCCTGAAATTGGTGCATGCCTATTTCTTTCCTGAAGAAACCACACATGTTCAAAGCTTCTTCCTCTTCTGGATGTTCAGCTTTCTTGAGTGTCTGTGTCTTGCCTGGCCCACATTCAGTAGTTGACACGAACTTCTTGATCTTCTCGTGGTTTCTTTTAATGTCATAAATTGTAGATCGGCCTACGCCGTATTCACTTGCTAAACTACTGAAAGTTTCATTGCGATTTAAGCGGTCTAAAATATCACATTTTACTTTAATTGTCAATGTTTCGTGCTTTCGCTTCTGAGTTTGTGATGACATTACTAGGTACTATACACAATGAATAAATACATAGTAAACAATGAACGCACGCTAGGCCGTACCGCTATCACCAGTAGTCAAATTCAAACTAAGTAAAACAATGCTTACGCGTCGAGCACGATAGCGGTGGCGCGTACAAGTTGTAACCTGTTCAAACCAGCGTTATCTACATTAGCGAAGATTGTCAAATACGTATGTATGTAATACATATTCAAAGTCATGTCGTATTACAGGGGGCGCCGGATTATCGGGGGTCCACTGTATTAAGAATAGATCTCGACCATATTTCCTCTTATTTAATCACAATCCATCTGTCAATCATGACCACTCTTTCGACAAAGCAATTTTCTCCACTACCATTCTTACAATTTTATATCCAAGGTATGAAGAATCCACTCTTGTGTCAACCTCCATGGTAAAAGTAGGGTTACATTTAATGAATAGTGCTCTTACTGAATCTATACAAAGGGTACTACAAAGGTTTTGCAATACAGCTTTATTTATTGACATCGTTTGAAGTAATTTCCAACACATTCAATGCTTTTCTCCATCCGCGAAAACCAGTCCTTAAACCAGCTCTGCGAAGTTTCACCCGGGAGTGCGGCACACTCGTTTTAGCTTCATTTTTACATGCGGAAACAGTGCAAAGTCACAGGGAGTAAGATCTTGACTGTAAGGAGAGTGCTCAATTAGTTTCAGTCCAGCAGTGGTCAAATACTAGATGCAGGCTTTGGCACAGTGACCTGAAGTGAGGTACCAAGTGTCCATTCTTGACTTTGGATGCAGGTTTTTGATAGACTCTATGACTTTGGAAGACACTGTTCCATATACCACTTAGCTGTGACTGTCTTCTTTGTGTCCAAAACGACACGCTCCACAATCCCGCTCGATTTGAAAAATACAGATATAATTTTTTACTTACAGATCAGGATTTTCTGACAGCTACGGGTGTGTCATCATTAAAGGCCCAAACATTGTTTTGAGCCTTGGTCGGCACATTGTAATAATAGAGCCAAATCTCGGCACTTGTCACGGTGCTGTTCTTATACCGAGATTACCCCTTATCAAACCTTTTCAGCATCTTTCGACACCAAGTCGTACGACGAGTATTCTGCTCTTCCGTCAGACTATGCGGTACCCAGAGAGAACAAAGTTTCCTTACTTCGTCAAGTTAAGTCATCATTGGTTGTCAGAGCGGTCCGTGGGACCTTAGCTATTGAGTCACAGTGTCAGTATGTAAGTCTGTCAGGTCTGGTAACCCAGAAACCAGACAATTTTAAGGAAAAAAGTGGAAGGAAAGGAGAGAAGGAAGAACAAGAGCAAAGAGGACGAAGAGAATCTTTTAGGATAGGCAGCGGTTAGGCATTGTTAAAAACACTTCACAGATTTTGACAGGGTGTAAAAACATTCGATTTTTTCTAAAGATTTTGTCAAAATAACACCGAAATACTTAGCGGAGGAACTAAGTACATTCATTGAAACTTCAGAAGGAACGCCGCGACGTCTTTTTGTACAGTAGATTTCCTGCGTTTTCGAACGGTTAATTTTAATTAGCCACCGATCCGCCCAATCTAATACTTCCTCCACCGCACTTTGCAGCCTGTCTTGGACTAGGTCACCAGACCACGACTGAGCCACCAATGCAGTATCGTCAGCATAGAGATAGACTTCACAGTTGCTGGGGCTAGGGACGTCATGGCTGTACAGTGAGTAAAGGATAGGTCCAATGACCGAACCCTGAGGGACGCCGGCTGTAATCAGCCGTGTTGTCGACAGGACATTGTTAATTTTGATCCGAAATTTCCTGCCTTCAAGGAAGGATTTCAGTAGTTTTAGAATCCAAAAATGGAAGGGATTAGTTCCGCGTGTCACACCTTGTCAAATGCTTTTGAGACATCCAAAAGCAAGATGTCAGTACTTTCGTTAAGGGTGAATCCTCTGGTTACTCGTTACACCAGCCTACCCGCCTGTAGCTTCGTACTATATTCAGACCGAAAACCGAATTGCACGTCAGGAATCACATGGTGATCAGACGAGCAATTCTCAAGGTGGCGTAGAATCACCTTTTCAGCGAGCTTAGACGGAGCTGACAGCAGGCTAATGGAACGATAATCCTGGGAAAATATCGAACACACCTTCTTTGGAATCATTATAACTTCAGCGGCCTTCCGCGAAAGCAGCTTCAGCGCCTTATTAGTGATTTGATCCTCCCCAGGTGCTTTACGCACTTTAAGGTCTTTAATATGACCTTGAATCTCTGCTGGTGTGCAATGCGGGATCTCGGGAGATGCCGCTGATGTGCTAAGCAGATATTCGGTTGAAGAAGCTTCTAAAGAAGAATCTTCCGATGAAGAAAAATCACCAACGGTAGCGCGACTGTCACTGACGCCGTTGGCCCTAAAATGTCTCCTGACAGATCTTACGATGTGTCGCTCCTCGTCGAGGTCATTATCAAGATTATAGTTGGGAGAGAACTGTCTTTCCATGGCATCGGCGAAAACTTCAACCCTTTCCTCTGTCCTGAAGATAATGCCTCCAGGACCGTGGATGTGTGGGATTTGTTCACGCTTTCCGTTTTTGAGCGACTTCGCCACCTTCCAGAGAGGAGTGCTTGAGTCAAGCATCCCCGCCAGAAAGTCGTTCCATTGCTCATTGCGGAATTCATGAACAAGATTCGTCGCTCTGCGAATGTCATCAGGATGAGTTTCCTTACTTATAAATGGTCATGCAGAATTGAATGAATTGCTGGTGCATGAAGGTGTAAGGTCTCCTCCATCTGATGGTATGTCACTCTCCGGTCTTCGTCAAGGATTTTCCTCACTGCAGTAATGTTTTCCTCTGTTACTGACGTTCTCACTTTACACTGTCAATACGAATGAACAAATGAATCAACAGACGTGCTGCTGGCGGCTACTATGCACTCATGGACATGTCTCAACATGCAGTTACATGCAGCCTCCTGCGTTCGTTTATTAAGTCATATTGCAAAACTTTTATAGTACCCTTTGTATTACTGGCATTTCACCGAAAACTTGTGTTGCAAATATCCTCGTTTTAGGCGGCAAAAGTAGACGTGCATCCGGGGGCGGTGGAGCAGGCGGGCACGGAGCCGGTACGAGCTCGGCTGGAGGCGGGGCAATGACACGACCACCCAATGACGAAAACCTGCCTACTGTCAAATTGGTGGTAGTAGGCGATGGGGGTGTGGGGAAGAGCGCCATTACGATCCAGTTCTTCCAGAAGTTGTTCGTCACTGACTATGATCCCACCATAGAGGACAGCTACCTCCAGCATGTTGAAGTGGATGGGGAGTGGTGCATATTGGATGGTAACATTGGTATTTTGGCCTTAGATCTGCATGGCGTGTATAAGATACAGCAGACGCTCCATAATGTAAACTAATTTAATTCAAGTGTGGTTCACATTATCGAAATGTTTACATTAGCGAACGTGATTTATATAATATTTGATTTATTAAAAGAAACGTTTAATACATACTATTTATAACAAAATAAACAAATATTCTAACAGCGATAAGTATTTTTTTAATTAGAAGAAAAATAATTAACAATTTTTGTCTGCGTAAATTTGCGCTTAGCATTGTCTTCCAATGCTTGCGCTCGTAATTTACGAAGAACTAAAATATCCGTGTATGAAACTTCTTTTCTTTCAGCCCAATCTAAAGCTTGGTTAAAAACTTGTATAGCTTGCACGTCAGTCACTACACTTCTGACTTCAATGGGATCGTTCTCATCATCCTCACTGTCCATATCCTCCTCCTTATCAGCATCATTCGTCTGCTTATCTTCATCTTCGTTCCATAAATTAATATCAGCAGGAGTACAAACAAAGTTGGGATTCACTGTTTTCAATAAATCAACAACATCCAATGACACATTAATAACATTATCATTATTGGATCGCAAACGTTCTCTAATTACGCTTAAGGGGACATCGTCTTCTTCATCATCTTCATTATTGGTACAAAAGAGATTGTTCTAACATTTTTGAATAGTTTGCTGGTTAAGTTCATTCTAGGCCATATGTAAATCTAAAACAGCTTCTCGTAATGTTACTTTTTTTAAAGCCTCAGATAAGTTTTCAGGATTCTTTGATAAGACAGACGAAAGTAGAAACTTCCTATAGTATAGTTTGGTGAGTCTTATTATATTCTGATCCATCGGTTGAATTAACGGTGTTACGTTGGGCGGCATGTACATGACGAAAATTGACCCATCCCTGCTCCTCAGTTGTTGCTCGGGAGGATGACTTGGTGCATTATCCAATAGTAACAACGCTTTTATTGGAAGCTTCTGTTGTTTTAGGAAACCTTTTACCTACAAATTGAAAACATCTTCAAATTATGAATAGAGCATTTTTGATAATTGATTGTCATACCTGAGGGACAAAGCACCTGTAGAACCATTTCAGGAATATACTGCTAGTCATCCAAGCGGTTTTTGAACAGTCATAATCAACAGGGATATTAACATTTTTAAATGAGCGCGGATTTTTTGCTTTCCCAATTACCAGTGGCTTTATTTTGTGTGAACCATTAGCATTAGTGCAGGCTAGAAACGTTATTCGTTGTTTCTCCGGCTTTCTTCCCGGGGCAGATTTTTCAAATGATGCAGCACAGGTTTTCTCTGGTAACATTTTCCAAGAAAGGCAACTTTCATCTGCGTTGTAAATTTGTTCCATTCTTAAATCTAGCTCGGTAATTGTTTTCATCAATTTTTCTTTGAATGGTTGCACTAATTGTGGTTGTGCTGATAATTTTTCACCAGATACAGACAGCAGTCGAATTCCATATCTTGTTTTGAAACTAGCTACGAAATTTTCAGTTTCTTTCAGTTTTTCATTTAACAGTCTCGCTCTCTGTTTAAGTACTTCGCCACTAACTGGGACATGATTTTCCCGTTGTTTTAAAAACCACTTATACAGGGAATTTTCCATTTTAGATGCCTTCGCATTTTTTAAAGTTTTTCTTTTTCCCGTACCTCCAAATGTATTGCACGTTCTTTGTAAAATTTGAGTTTTCATACGCTTAATTTTACAGATTGTTGTTTTCGATACTCCATATTTTTTTACTAACTGTGTCACTCCCGCACCTAGTGCAACTTCGTCTATGATTTTCACTTTCTCACTCAACTTTAAACACTTTCTTTTATAGGATGTGGATGCCATAGTCGTATTAACGCGTGCAATGTATTCACTTAAGTTCAAAAATCAAATACGTACGTATAAACGTATCCTAAACGATCATACGACTGACCCAGTTTGTCGTATTTTATCGCAGAGGTGAATCCCCTACACTCTACATCATAAATCGGGGACTCCCCGACGCCCGACGTAAATCATCGAGGCTTCAGCATTTTACCGTCGCGCTGTTTCCGTGCGCCGAGAGTTGTTTACGTTATAGAGCGTACACATTGTTTACGTTATCGCGCGTTCCGTTTGATCCTATAGAACGAAGTTTGTGTTTACATTAGCGCAAGTTTTCATTATCCCGTGTTTACGTTATCGAGCGTCTGCTGTATTTGGATAAGTGTGCGTCCATACTGAATGCGCGGTGACTAGTGCCTAAGGCGAGCGGCGGTGTGCGGTGTCCATAGTGACACGCGATCACTTCGATGGACCACGATTTGGTATTTTTACTAGACAGTCCGATCCTGAGATGGGAGGTACTGAACATGGTGTGCACGAACTAAATAAAACAAAAGAAACAACTGGTGATTTTTTTCATTAGTATGAAGAACTGAGATCATAACCTACCAAATTTTTTGACTACACTCGAATGCCGTGTCAGCATTTGACTACATCCTAAGTAAAATATCGGTGGTGTGGATATTTACTTTGCCAAATAGGTGGCTTAGATTGAATTCCACTTATAAACAATTCAGTATCCGCCATTACCATACAATAATACTCATGCATACGCCGAGCGACAAGACCGAACTGGTTTGTTGCCGCCGCCTCCGCGCGCTAGGTCGCTTGCTGATTAGGCCCGTAGTGTGGCCAGAAAGCGCGGAACAGGAACGTTTGAAAACTACGCGCGCTGTTCCGGTCACACACTGTGGACACATAGGCGCGTTTCGTAATGTTTGATAATGTCGCAACCGGGCTAGGTTCGCAATATGGATGCACACCACCAAGTATACGGGGGAATCGTGTATGATATACAGGGTAGGCCAGAAAGACGTACGAATTTCAAAATTAAATTGCACCCATATACACTTCAACTAGTGCAGGTATTGAAACCGCAGGGCCACCAGCTACGCCGTGCGTTTGCCGAAACAATGTTAGCGCGCTTTTCTCTTTTCTGATGTATCTCATTTTCGTTTGAGTAGATTTGTGAACAAGCAAAATGACCGGTATTGGGCCGCCTGAAAATTTAGTCATTTTACCAGTAAGGGACACTGAACATATATCCCAAAAATTACTAAAATCGGATAAACATACGTAGGTGTTTACCTTTTTTTTGTCACGCAGTATATGTTCATATCTTGCCCTTTGCATTTCGTGTGCCAGACGTGTTCCATTCTAATGTTCTTTCTACTTCTTGTTCGCTGCTAATGTATTATAAATCCTCGTTATCTATGACTAAATGAATCAGTATCCTTTTTTAGCGCTAATCTTCGAATACATATATCCAGTTTTTTGAGCTCTGTGTCTTTTATTGTCCATATGTTAACAGAAGCAAGCTATACTATACAATATTGGACATTAAAATAAGACAAGGCGATGGCCAGATATTCCTTTTCGCAGAAGAATTTGGGCCCAAGCAAGGTGTCCTTATTTAATTTGTTTGATTGTTTTAAGATTTATTTAGCATGATTGCTACAATTACATTCTTCTAAAAAAAACAATTACATAACTCACAGATATTTGGAAAAAAACAAAATTTGCATCTCTAAGAATTTCCATTGTCCATGAAATATTCCTTTAATTTTCTTTTAAATTACAAGTAGACTTTATATCATTATTTAGTTTATTAAATTCAAGTAATCCGTTCCGAAATATTGATTTGCTAGTTATATTACTATTACAATTTTGTAAATAAAAATCTATATTTCCTCTTGTATAATATTTTGTATGATTTGGTAATGACTATTCAGTTCTAGGTGGCTAAATGTTGTGGCAAAAGATGATTTTTTATTTTAAATATAAAAATAAGAGTCAAATCTGATATGAATTTTTTTATATTCCACCACCACTCGAATTCTTGTAACATAGATTTTATTTTGGTGTACTTATTTTTATTCAATATTATTCTCGTCGCTTCATTTTGCAGGACTTGTAATTATGAGGATACAGCTTCATTGGCAGTGAACAAAATATACTAAGTTACATATAAATCCGAACACCCAGTTTAAATGGTTTTATTTTAATAAAATTTTGTATAAGTACTTAATGAAGCATAATAAGTAAATGATAAAATATATACAATAATGTGTGGATGCACCCTGATGTGCTACGCATTCTCCAACGCGCCTAGGCATGCTTCTGATCAGGTGGTCAATGTCCTCCTGTGGTATCTCATTCCAGGCAACCACCAACTCCTCTCGAAGTGCTTCTAGAGTCTGAGGAGGACGTTGCAAATTGAGCAATCTCCTACCCATCATATCCCACACGTGCTCAATTGGGGATAAGTCGGGAGATCTTGGTGGCCATGGTAACAATGTGACATCATTATGTTGAAAGAAGTCTATTGTGACTCTTGCAACATGTGGTCGGGCATTATCTTGTTGGAAAGTTGGATCTGCCAGGGTGTCAAGATAGGGTAAAAGATGGGGTTCTAGAACTTCGTGGATATAACGCTGCGCGTTCATGTTACCTCTGATGAAGATTAAAGGTGACCTGAACTATAAGCTATAGCACCCCAAACCATAACTCCAACAGTGTGATGAACATGTCTTTCAACAAAAAACTGTGGATTCCTCCTTTCACCACGTCGTGAATTAAAAAAAAGCAGTATAAAAACCGGAATGTCCAACTGATAAGGCTGAAAATTTTTTCACTTGTTATTTACAGTAAGATAAATACATTCACCAACTTTTATTAAAATAAAACCATTTAAACTGGGTGTGCGGATTTATATGTCACTTAGTATAGTTGAATAATATAGTGAATGCGGTAGAATAATTTTATTATAAACTGTTTTCTTGGAACATGTACCAAGACTATGAGTTCCCTATAAAAGTACATAATTTGTTTTTTTTTTTGCAATTTTTAAAATAATGTGTTCAGAGTGATTCTCAAACTTTACTACCAATATGTATACCTGAATATTTAATTGATTTGACATTTGCAATTATTTCTCCATTTATCCTAACTGTGATAGTAGTTTCATTTAGGTATTTCCCTATTAGCATACATTTTGTTTTAGAAGTATTCAATTTTAAGTTTATTTACATTTAACCAATTTACGATTTTTGCAAAGTCAGAATTTAGCATTTTTGAAGCAGTGTCTATATTTTCATCTGATATGTATATTAATGTATCATCTGCAAATATCTGAAGTTTACAATAATCTAAAATATTACAAATGTCATTAATGTATAAAGTAAATAGTAGTGGACCTAGTTTACTACCTTGTGGTATACCAACAGAAATATTGTTTGATCTTCATAATGTAGATACAGTTTTAGTTTTTTGACGTCTGTCAATTAAATAGTTTTGTAGAATTTTTAATACAGATCCTTTAAATCCGTAGTGATGCTATTTTGTAAGTAATTTATCACTGTCAATAGTCTCCAACGCCCTTTTGAAGTCCAAAAACACTGTTCCTCTATGTTTCCTATTGTTCATACATCTATTTGTGTTGCCGTTTTAGTTGTTTCTTCCTGAATCCAGCTTGAAATTTCGTCAAAATGTTATTTCCCTCAATGATCTGTTTGTAAATAATTTCTTCGAATACTTTTTCAACATCTGGCAGGACATTTATTGACCACATATTGGTGTACAACTCAGAATTCTTAACTTTAAAAACACGAGTTATGATGAGCACTTCATCTTTGTTGGAAATTTAGAATACGCAATATGCCGAATTTGCGTGTATCAACATCTTATGTCGAAATGTCATGGATTTGGTTTTTTTGTTGCAGTGCTGGATACCGCTGGCCAAGAAGAGTTCAGTGCGATGAGGGAACAATATATGAGAAAAGGAGATGGCTTTCTTTTAGTTTATTCTGTAACAGACAAAAATAGTTACGAAAATATAATGCATTTTCATACACAGATTTTGCGCGTAAAAGACAGGTGAGTGTGTTTTTACAATGTCATCATGAAATCATAATGAAATCTTTCATACATCTTTTTCATTTTTTTCTTCAATTTATGCTCATGTTATTACTGCGCAGGAATACATTCTCTATTTTCGAAACACTCATAGTAGTGTCACATTCATTGCGTCTAGTGTGCGTAACAGCCTTTACTGATGCTTGGCAGAAATGTTTGTTTATTATTATACAGGGTGTTTGGTATATGAACCGAGAACATTTTTTGGGTGATCGGTAAAACAATGTTCTAGGGGCTACGGTTACCGAAATATACAGAGTGGTCGATATTTAACTGGCTGGTTTGTATCTTGATTATTTGTGAAATGAAATAAAATACGTCCATTTCTTGATCTTAATCTTTTATTGAAACTTGGAAATTATGTATGAAAAATAATATCAGACAAATGTCCGCCTCTGGAAGCTCTGTCTGTTCAAATATCAAACACCCTGTATATTTATTGTTTAACATTCAAAAGATTGTTTTTCGACAAATGTTCTCCTGAGATTAACCTTGCCATCCGTAATGTTTCAAATGGCTCGTCAGTATGCCGAAATGTGGTATTCGGTGCTTTGCAACTTTCATGTTTCACTATAGTTCTGTCAGTAGATGTGCTTGGCATATTGATTTTTCTGACTATTTATTTCGTTTAGCTAACAGGCCAGTGAGTTGAGCGAATTTACGACAAAAATATTTGAAGTCCCTGTATGGAATTTTATAAAAAGGCAGTGCGTGAATATACATACGATGTTTTCCGTTCCCACTCTCGGTTTTTGATATGAGAAATGCAAATATTATGAGAGATAATTAAGGAATTCGAAGACATACCGAATTGAATCGGTCATTTCAAAAACCTCGTTTGTTCTGTTAGCAGGAAATAGTGTTAGTGATACTAAACAATCACATTAATCATATTTTTTATTGCTTATTATTGAAAGTCACACTTAAATATTGACTTATTAACATGTTACATGTTTTAAGTTTGCATGCTTTAATATAAATAAGGTACACAGGTAAACCCGGGCAAATCAAACACCCTGGGAAAAATTTCTTGTTTTACATAGAAACCAGGTGCAGGCGCATATACTTTCAACCTTTTTCAATAATAAGCAATCGGTTGTAAAATAACCCACGTGACTACCAGAAAGCAAAACTTATGTTTTCAACAAAAAAAGTTTTTCAAATTAGGTGTTGCGTGTGTGAAATTCCATTTTTATTCTATCTACAGGGAAAACAAATTTGTCGGACGGCTTGAGTTTAATAATAATAATAATAATAATAATTAACGTCTTTTATTTGTAATATTTTTACAGGAGGCGAGATTTAGATTATATATCTATTCTACCATCTAACCCCCTTAACAACACGAGATGTAAAAAAAAAAAGAATTTGTTGAAAATTAATAGGCACCTGTATACAATAACTACAGAATAAAGTGTAATCTAAGTAAATACATAAGGAAAATATGAGGACACTTATGGGTTACAACCGATTTCGCTGCTGATCAAGAAGAACTTCTTTCACTTTTTTCTTGAATTTGGATAATGTATTGGTTTCTTTTAAACTGCGGTCTAAAGAATTATATGATTTGATCGCATTGTAAATGTATGAATTCTGAAATAGAGACGTGCTGTGGCGTTGAATTGAAAAAGTCTCTCTATATCTAATATTAATACGATGCATAATCCCTCTATGTATGAATTTGTTTACTAAATATGACGGTGTTTTTGAATAAAGAACCTTATGAGTCAGATTTAGGAGCTGGTACTTATACAATTTATCAATTTTCATCCATTTGAGTTCATGAATGGCATTCGATATATGATCATATTTTCTGAGATCATTTACAAGTCTGCAACATGTATTCATAATACTTTGAATACAATTTCTTGTTATAATATCTAAATAGGGATAGTAAACCACTAAGCAATACGATATCTTTGAAAACACGAAAATTCACACAATTGCTTTCTCGCAGATATATGTAATATAGCCTTATTTGCAAATAAAACTCTGAGAATAGCGTAGCACTGAGTAATTAGATAGTTCACGTGTGCAACAAATTTTAAGTCATCATCCATTATAATACCTAGGTTTTTCGAATGATCCACAGAAATTAATTTATTACCTTTTAAATGTATGTCTATGTCCTTTTTTAAGGTATTCTTTTTTGTTCTATTCGCGTATACCAACATATTTGTCTTCAAAGGGTTCAAACGAAGATTATGACTACTACTGAACTTTTCAATTTGGGCAAGATCTTGATTAATTTTATTATTTGCCGTTTCCAAGTCATTACTCCTAAATGAATAGAAAATTTGAGTATCATCTGCAAAAAATTGTATGCTGCATGATTTTACCTCTGTTTCTAAATCTGAGATATATAATGAAAATAATAGCGGTCCTATCCCTGTGGTACACCAGAACAAATTTGTTGTTCCGTAGAGTACTGTTGATTTAGACGAACTTTTATATATATAATATTATTATAGCCGCATGGGTCATGTTTGGATACTTTATACGTTGATTTCTCACAGAGACACCTATCCAATGCTGCTAGTCGCTAACAAAGTAGACCTTGTTCATCTGCGCAAAGTTACAGAGGAGCAAGGTAGAGAGTTAGCACACAGATTGGGTATACCTTACATTGAATCAAGTGCCAAAGATCCACCGCTTAATATTGACGCCACATTTCACGAGGTAAGTTAAAATTAATTATATTTACTTCGTCTCTAGGAAATATTTGTGCCTGAATCCCGCTTCAAGGAGTTCCTTAGCTGCTCCAGATAATTTTTTTTGGTACCGTGATGTACTCGATTCACCCCGCTCATAAGCGGGAAAATAGCTTAACAAATTTGGTTCTGCTTTTTAAACCTAATCCCCTTGATGCAATGGTATCCATTTAATAGAGTCTTCTTTGGGCTGAACTATACTTTAATAGCGCATATCGCAAATATTTCATTTCTTATTTTAAAATGAAAGATTAGGATGTAACTTGCACGAAAATATCATTTTTTCTTTAAGGAACGCTCCACTCGCTATTTTATAGAATTTCAAAGTTGCATTTTGGGTGCTGATACAGTGGTATAGAATACTGCTTTATAAGCTGTTTTCTTGATTTTTGTACAAAAGATTGTTCGAAATTATATGAATATAACATGCACTGTAAGTTACTGTGATACTGTTCATCGCAATAATGCAATTTTTATGATGAAAATAGTTCATTGTTAAATAGTCATTTCTTTTATTTCAGATAATTATTCCCATCACTACACCACCATCACTGTCATATTCTCTCCTTCTAGTTGCGATGTTGCCAAATCATGGATAGTAACATACCTTAAGTCAAATCCTTACTTATATACTAGTGCAAAATGTGCAATCGGCACAGGATTGTCATGAAAATGCGATTTGGAGGTGTTGCCGGCAGGTTTTACTGTACTAAATCCACCTTGTGCCATACGATAGTGTTAGCTAAACAGACTTTTTTGAAGAAGCCTTATGCCCTTCGCAAAAGTACTTCGGTTATTGTTTTTCCTATATTATAGTTATAATCTATTTACTTTTTGTATGTATGTGCTTGAAAAATTCTTTAATCTGAAGCTGATGTTACAAAATGTACCTAATTAAATGTGATATACTGGGTGTCCTAGAAGTCGACGTCAAGCCGAAACCGGGTGATAGGCAAAGTCATAACAGCTATCAGAAAAATATTTAAAAAAAATTTATGTATGCGTTTTGAAAATTATAGGTCTTTGAAAAAAATATAGAAATTTCACACCCTACGGCAGTCTGTCAACACCTGTTACTACAAATATTAACTTTTTTTGGATTTTATTTTTACAATGTAATGATGAATAATGCATCTTCAAACTGGTGTCTCAACCTTACTGCCAACTTTTCTCGTTCAGGAAAAATTGATACTTATTTCCCAACCAAGTATTCCAAAGTAAAACTTTGCTCAACTTTAACTGGCTGTACAGGAAAAAAATGTACTACGAGAGTTTGGCAAGTAACCTTAAGAGTTGGCGCATTTAATAAGGATTCCAAAATGGTATAACACTTAGAAGATTACTCGTTAATTTATGCACAATTTTTATTTGAAGGAAAACTGATGAAAATTTTTCAAAATTTCCTAATTAAACAGCGATTATGAAAACGCACAAGGACACGCTGTATGTGGTATGGATGAAGCACATCACTTACTTGCTATTGCACACTTTGATACCGATCAGTACTCCTTCGTTTACTGCGCATCTTTACATGTTACACTGAAGTACTCGGGTCTTCTTCGACAGCTCCTAGCACCACGTCTTCGTAAGGAAGGAAAGATCTTCCCTCACCGTGTGATTGATTTGGTAGTTGGCCCTCTGAGAACAGTAAGCGGTGCACATTTGTGAACACTCGATGATCTGGATGACGAGCTGCATTCGGGTACCTCTCACAGTAAAGTCTCGCTGCAGCACTAGCGTTGCATCTGCATTCCCCATAAATGAGGTGCATGTTAGCATATTCTTGTACGGTGTACACGGACATAGCGGCACTGCACAATCACACTATCAAAGATAGTCTAAGGAAAGCAAATGTTGTTTTGAAGAGCAATTAAACAGTCCAAATCCAAATCACAAGCGATCAACAGTCCAGTTCACGAATCCAAAATTAGTAACAGTACGAAATCAACAAGCACGAATATGTAAAGATGCGCAGTAAACGAAGGAGTACTGATCGGTATCAAAGTGTGCAATAGCAAGTAAGTGATGTGCTTCATCCATACCACATACAGCGTGTTCAACCTCTCCTGCCCCGGGATTATGAGCCCCGAGTTGCTTTTTGTCGCACAATGTTAGAAAAACACAGGAAAGATCCACAGTTCTTTGAAAAAAATTTATGGTCGGATGAGACCACATTTAAGAAAGATGGGTGCATGAACCTGCATAACTTACACGAGTGGCACGTAGCAAACCCACATTTGATGAGAGAAGATAAATCTCAATATCGCTTCAAGATAAACCATTGGACAGGAATTTTAAATGGTAAAATAATCGGTCCGTTTGAGTTCCCAGAGACTGACTGCTGATGTTTATTTGGATTTTTTGAAAAATCATGTACAAAATTTATTGGTGGACGTGCCACTGAGTATTTACAGGGACATGTGGTTTCAGCATGATGGCTGCCCAGCGCACTATGCACTCTCAGTGAGAGAGTATCTCGATCAAAACTTTCCAGGCAGATGGATAAGGCGGTCTGGTACAATACCGTGGCCAGCCCGATCACCTGATTTGAATCCTTTAGATTTTTTTACTGGGGAACTGTAAAAGAAAAAGTGTATTTCAAGCCGATTCAAAATGTAGCTGAGCTACGGCAAAGACTATTGGAAGCAGCTGAGTTTGTTAATAACCGTGGATTCGCTCGTTTAATAACCCGATCTTTTTTAAGAAGATGTCGAGCGTGTATTGCGGCTGAAGGAAAACAGTTTGAGCATTTGCTGTAAAGGTAAATCATCATCAGCAGCATTTTGACGCCCACTGTTGTGCAAACAGTTATCCTTAAGGGTCCTTGTGCGTTTTCATAATCGCTGTTTAATTAGGAAATTTTGATAAATTTTCATCAGTTTTTTTTCAAATAAAAATTGTGCATAAGTTAACGAGTAATCTTCTAAGTGTTATACCATTTTGGAATCGTTATTAAATGCGCCAACTTTTAAGGTTACTTGCCAAACTCTCGTAGTACATTTTTTTCCAGTACAGCCAGTTAAAGTTGAGCAAAGTTTTACTATGGAATACTTGGTTGGGAAATAAGTAGCAATTTTTCCTGAACGAGAAAAGCTGGCAGTAAGGTTGAGACACCAGTTTGAAGATGCATTATTCATCATTACATTGTAAAAATAAAATCCAGAAAAAGTTAATATTTGTAGTAACAGGAGTTGACAGACTGCCGTAGGGTGTGAAATTTCTATATTTTTTCAAAGACCTATAATTTTCAAAACACATACATAATTTTTTTTTAAATATTTTTCTGATAGCTGTTATGGCTTTGCCTATCACCCGGTTTCGGCTTGACGTCGACTTCTGGGACACCCTGTATATGAGAAATAACTGAAAAAGTAGCTGTTGCAAATCACTAAATAATGAAAACATAACAATGAACATTGCAAGTTTTTTGATGATTTGATGAAGTGATCGTTGATCTTTATTTAACAATAATGTTGGACGATGATATGTTGGGTGTACCTGGCGAGCCGCTGGTGCATTTTCCACTGTTTAGACATATACTGTTCAAAATTTCATCTAGTTTTCGGTAAATATTGAGACAACTTTTCATAAAACAAGCCATTTACAATAAATTAAGACGTATTTTGCAAATAACCTCATTTCTGATTACGTATTTCTCCCAAAAAAGGTACAACTTGGCAACAATGGACATCATTTATCTTATCTGTCAAGAAATGAGCGTTATAAAATGGCCATCGAGAATTGTTTGTACTTTCAAATATTTCTTATAAACGCAAAACCGTTGATCTCATTGAAAAGACGCGAAAAAAAATGGTTAAGGAATTTCAAGAAGACATTGAAAAATCACAAAACAACACCTCTACACAGTTTAACAAGTAAATACCATCATTTACGTATGTATTTTGTTCTGTTATTTAAGCTAATGTGTAATAACACGTCTGGTTTTGAACCTTTTTTTGCAAAAAACGATTCTTTACAGTTTCACATCTATTTTCCTTAGTACTATACAGTGTATGATATATTCTTATAATTTAGAGCATCCTTTTGTATAAAAAGCAAAAAAAGACAGCATATAAAACAGTATTCTATTCTAGAGTATTACCACCAAAAATGCAACTTTGAAATTCTATAAAAAAGCAAGCAGAGGGTTCCTTAAAGAAAAAATGATATTTTTGTAAAAGTTACATCCTAATATTTCAGTTTAAAGTAAGAAATGAAGTATTTGCGATATGCGCTACCTCTTTTTTGTGCTAGCATTTCAAGGAAGAGTAAGATTATTGTATCGGGGTTTCCAATAGGGACTTGACAAATTTGAACTTTCACTGTGAACACACCTTTAAATCAGTTACCGAACTGTCAATGTCAAAACATTCAAAAAAGAAAACATTTTCATCGTGGTGAAGTACACGAAGGAACAACGTTTACGAATAATTAAAATTTACTACCGAAATTCCGAGTCGGTGGCTGTAACGTTAAGAGCGTTAACGCCAATTTTCGGTCGTAATGCTCGTCCCAGTAGACAAGCATTTCATATTCTAGTAAAAAAATCTGAATCTGAGATCTGGGCCTGCACCCTTATCAGATCAAGTTGACTCAAGAACTAAAGCCGTTCGATCATATGAACCGACGTACGTTCTCGAATTCTGCTCTAGAAATATTCCTAGAAAATGACCAATTTCATCGCAAAATCATCTTCAGTGATGAGGCACATTTTTTGCTAAACGGCTTCGTCAACAAATACAGGGTGTTTCAAGACTATGGGATCAAACTTGTAGGGGTTATTCAGTATAACAGTAGAAAACATTTGAGTATACCAAGCTCCAAGTAAAAACTTTCGATAACCGCCAAATATTTTTTTTCGGTATGATAGTTGCTCTGTAAATAAACAATATTTTTTTAAGGTGGTACGTATTATTCGCAACCAACCGCAGAGCGATAAAGATAAACGAAAAAAGAAGAAGCTTCAGAAGAAGTGTGTTTTTATATAAGTTTGTGTTCGTATCATATTTATTCGCTTTTTATATGTACGCGAAAGCTTTATGGTGTGTATTTATTATATGTTGTACATATTTATATACTGTTTATTTGTTATTTCGAGCTATTCAGCATGGATGATGAATACCATCTAATAATTGGAGACTGTTGGTATATATACAGAACCGAGCAAAAGTGGTGAAACATTTTATTTTTTAAAGATTTTATTAAACTACTTATGTTTTATGATAACTTAATAAAACTATGCTAACGATTATTATTAGAAAATACAGCGAGGAAAAATAGAGAAACATAATATACAAAGCAATTGTCATAATATACAAAGAAGCTAATGCTTGGTTGCATAACCTTTATTTTTGATAACTGCTAGACATCTTTTTCTCATAGAACCAATTAGGATATCTATGGTTTGTTTTGGAATAGAATTCCAGGCGACTTCGATTGTTTCAAATAGTTCGGCACTATGTTTGAACTTTTCTGGATGTTCAGTCCGAATTTTTTTATCAACTAAATCCCATAGGTTCTCTATGGGGTTAAGGTCTGGACCACCTAATGACATTAATATTGTGATATGCAAAAAATGTTTTTATTAATTTCGATGTGTGCTTGGGGTCGTTTTCGTGCTGGAACCGCCATCAGTTAATATTTCCAAGTATTTGTACCGGTCCATAATTCCTTCAATTTTGGCGATCGGTCCCATCTGAAGACCACAGAAGCAACCTCATACTTGAACCTTCCCGTCTCCGTGTTTGATTGTGCCCAAAGTGAACTTAAGATCAAATCGCTTGTTTTTAGGACGTCTTACACATAAAATGCCATCCGATGACAATAAATTTACTTTCATCAGAACACCACAAAGAATTCCACCTTGTTTCTGACCAGTTCAAATGATCGTAAGCAAATTGTAGACGGACGGTCCGATTTTTCTTGGAAATAAAGTTTTTTTAGATGGTCTCCTTGCTGGTAAATCACTCTCCCTTAAACGTCTTCAAACAGTGTGGACACCAATATTTACTTCTTCAAGTTGAGGTTTTATGTCGACAGCAGTAGTAAATGGATTTTTAAGAGCAAGTGTTTTAATTTTTCGATTAATCCTAGATGTGGTTTTTCGCGGTCTACCAGTCTTAGGAGGGCTTACCAACGATTTTTTGAGGCTTAATAGTTTTGCAAATACACTCAAAAATGACACCTATTCTAATCGACGACTAAATATTTACAAAATGTTTCTCTACTTTGCTCGTTGAACAAAGAACCGACCATATTATATAGAAAAAAAGAATGTATCCAAAGATAAGCATTTCATTATCTTGAGGTAGTCATACATAAAAAACGTTAGTGTGCAGTTTCGGGTTAGAGTAAATCTTGCTGGATTTTTGTGGTTTGCTTCTCTACTTTTGCTCGGTACTGTAGATTTGTATTGTCTCTGCTCTGTTTCTGGCAATGATACCTATAAAGTTTAATCTAGTCATCCATGAATGCTCGTATGCTTTGACAACATGACATGCGTATTATAGACGTAGAATGTTTTATCAAAGCTCAACTTTAAGTCAAAATTTAGCATACTTTATATTTCGTTATTTCTTTCTCCTTTACCAGTGATCACTTTTGAATCACAGCTAGGATGATGCTATATATGCAGACCCAGATTTCTTATAGTTTCACCCACAGATATGCAAAAGGAATAAAAGTGTTATCATCCTAGATATAATTTCATGTGAACCTGGGTGTTTTAATGAGCCCAAATGGCAGAAACCTATAGAAATTGTAAGTTTTTTCGGTTTTAGGGATGGTCAAACGATAGGTTTTCCATTTGTTTGGGTTGTGAGTTAAAGTGTGTATTTTTCAAACTCATATTTTGCAACTATTTACATTATTTATATTCCAAAGGTATTGATTAGGTTTAATCTAATTTTAATCAACCTAAATACACGTTTAGAACTTTAAGGATTCTGTTCATCCCAATTTTCCAACGATCGTTCGACAATATTATATTCCAAATTAGTACTATTCTTACTTGACTTCCTAAATCATTGGATAACTAACAACGAAAAGTCGTCGATATGAAAAAATCCACTTTAACTCACATAATAATAATTAATATATAACGGGTATTTTTTGGAGGTATAGAATTTTAAATTGCAATAAAACAACGATGGATTATGCGATTGACATGATTTTTTTATCCGAAAGATAATCTTGTGGCATTACATTTTAAACATGATTTCTGGCATACAGCTGGCTCGGATGTAGTCCAATCTTTACGTCCAGTTTTCGATGACTTTTTTCAACATTTGTGGCCGTATATCGTCAATAACATGGCGAATGTTGTCTTCCAAATGGTCAAGCGTTTGTGGCTTATCCGCTTAGACCAATGACTTTGCATAGCCCACAGAAAATAGTCTAGCGGTGTTAAATCACAAGATCTTGGAGGCCAATTCACAGATCCAAAACGTGAAATTAGGCGGTCACCAAACGTGTCTTTCAATAAATCGATTGTAGCACGAGCTGTGTGACATGTTGCGCCGTCTTGTTGTAACCACAGCTCCTGGACATCATGATTGTTCAATTCAGGAATGAAAAAGTTAGTGATCATGGCTCTATACCGATCACGTTCTGGCCATCATCGTTTTTGAAGAAGTACGGACCAATGATTCTACCAGCCCATAAAGCGCACCAAACAGTCAGTTTTTCTGGATGTTACGGTGTTTCGACATAAACTTGAGGATTAGCTTCACTCCAAATGCGGCAGTTTTGTTTGTTGACATAGCCATTCAACCAGAAGTGCGCTTCATCGCTAAACAAAATTCGCTGATGAAAATCGGGAACAACGACAATGTCGTTTTGGGCCCATTCAACGAATCTACTCCCTGCTTAATGGTCGTTTGGCTTCAATTCTTGCACGAGTTGGATTTTGAGATCATTCCGCAAAATCTTCCATAAAGTGGATGGACACAGATCCAATTCCTGTGGTCGATGGCGGATGGACTCATTCGGGCCTTCTCAATGCTACGCTCTCCAGTAGCAATAGCTTCTTCTGTACGCACCGTACGGCGTCTCTGGGGATGCGAGTTATCAATTAGAGTAAACGTGGTGCGAAAACGTTCCATGGTTAATCGAATTAACTGCTCTGATGGACGATTTTGTCGACGATAAAATGGACGTAATGCGCGATACGTATTCCGCACAGAACCGTTATTTTTGAAATTAAACTGCACAATTTGCAAGCGTTGTTCAGACGTGAGTCGATTCATGATGAATTGCTAAACCAAACTGAGAATAAATCACTTGACAGCTGTCAAATCGTTCGCCATCTTCAAAAGTAATGCTAACTTAAAGTTCTATACCGCGAAAAAAAAACACCGTTTATTTGTCAACTACCTCTAACGATACATTGATGTAGCGTCGCCCTGTTTGACGATGATTCATGGAGACAACAATAGGTTGTTCAAATAGAAAACGTCTAAACGGAATGATAATATTTGTATAATTTATTGTGATATTGGAACTTGCTCGGCTTACAACAACTATTTGATATAGATGGAAATATATAAAAACGAATTGTTAGAAAAATCAGAACTTGGGAATATAGATCGTTTCACGTTTTTTTGGCGGATTGGCCATGTGCGGACCTCAACTTTTGTGGAGAAAATTTCACACTACATGAGCTGATTTAAACGCAACTGCTCTTGCACACATGAACTGAATAATAATTGACCGTTGCATTAATCGACTTTTCAACAAAAAAAAAACCCAATAAATTTAACAAAGTTGTCACTGTTTGTATTTTGATGCACTGCTAAGTTTTGAATTAAGATCAACGAAAGTTGAACTCAAAGCGCACGCATATGAAAAGTGGGTTGTCTCACTGATAGTGGCACGCATATACAGGGTGGCCCAACGAAAAGGTCGCATCCCTATTTGTAAGTCTCCCGGTACATTTATGGGAAAAACAATACAGGGTGGTCCAAAAATAAGATTTTGCGTTACACTTTAGATATTTAAATGGAAACTCTCCTTTAATGAATTTTTAAATTATCCATGAAGTTTTTAGTAACTATTGTATAATAAAGTTTATACCTATCTCCAAGCGTTGTGAAGCTATTTGAGTTTATAATAAAATCCTAGAAATTGTGATATGGGATTATATCGTAAAAATAATATTCAATATAGTTCCCATAGTAACAAGTCTTTAAAATTAAAAACAAGTCTCCAAGTATTGAAAATACAAAAAACAACTTACAGTACACGCGCATTGAAGTTAAACTAAAAATTAATTTGCTACAAGAAATAGGTCGATGTGGTAATAAGTGCTGAAAGTGGTGCCCATTTACCTCTATGCAATAATAAAGATACAATATGATTTCCGAAACTGCCGGCCCGCACATTTATTTATTCAGGATATTGCGAGTCTACCTCTCGAAAAAAATGTGGATTCGACTCACTCCAATATCGACAATTATATCTATTTACAGCACCTTGTAAATAGAACGTACACTCATCCGAGAAACAAATATTAAACAGAAACAGATTTGTATTGTTGATTAGGCGTTGGGACATTCATTCGAAAAACTACAACCTTCTATCAAAATCGTTTTCATTAAGCTCATGGACAAGTTTTATCTTGTACTGGTAGAAATTTATTGTATTTCAAAACTCTTTGTATTGTTGAGCGTATAAATCCTGAAGAAGTCGCCAGTCCACGAGTGTTTTGGGTATTGTCAAGTGCTACGGGTCCCAAAACTGCTATTTCTGCGGCTTCATTTCTAACTGGTCGATTTTTCTTATCAACTTAGCGACTACTTATTGTTTATATTTTTATATGGATGTAACGCATTAAACAACCGCGCAGTAGCTCTGCAATGCTTCCATTTTGGTAATACAGTTTTGTTATGTCTACCTTTTCTTGAATTGAATAAGTCATTGTTCAATATTTATCACAACTAGGTAGGTAACTTAACAATTTGAAATGAAAGACATACGATGACACTGAATGATGCTAAATGTTCTTGCTGATATTCATGATTATTATTCTTTGCCCTGCATTCTATTATTATCAGTATTGAGTCGGATTTTATTATAAACTCCAATAGCTTTTCAACGATTGAAGATAGATATACACTTTGTTATACAAAACTTACTGAAAAATTCATGGAAAATCTAAAAATTGAAAAAAATGGGGATGTACATTTAAAAATCTAAAGTGTAATGAAATATCTCATTTTTGGATCACTCTGTATTGATGAAAAGACGTCCACCTAGAAATCAAAATTGACGTGTCCGAGCTTTTTTCCTAAAATATACCAGGGGAGTCACAAATGGGCGATCGACCTTTTCGTTGGGTCACCCTGTATAAGAAATACTTAGTTGAAAAAATGTTGAGATGGCGAGACGAAAGTAAACAACGTATGTGTGAGGGAGATTGATCTATGAAAGTGATACTGATAGTTTTACCGTGACCCGCCAAAAAACATGAAAATACAGTGCTTATTTATTGGGCAAGTTAGTATGCTGAAATTCGACGTAATGGAATTAATGCATAAATACTATGTTCTAGTCGAAAAATTCGGTATGCATATTCTAAGATGGCGCCGTTTTGGAACATTTTTTAAATGGAATGAGGGGTCGTATCATGAATCATTTTGAAGCTCCTTATGAGTATTTTATAGCCGTAGAATAAAAAATTACCCTCTTTCAAAATGGCGGTCTGGCAAGCTGTCAAAGCTGCGCGTTTTTTTTTTATATTGAGTCGTAGCTCGACAACCAATCATCAAAACGCTATATGTTATTCTAATATTCTTCTCTTGCATGGATCTAATCGATATTTAATAAAATATGAGACATTCCATTATATACACCTATGTCAAAATCTGACATTTTTATTAAACGGAATGTCTCATATTGCACATTCAGATATTGCCTTCCAAAAGAACAAGATTGTTATAACATAATATTCATGTTTTTATGTTTAATTGCTGAGACCGTCTTCCAGTTCGCTACTTTGAAAGAAAAGGACTTTATATTCTAGGGTTAAAATAAGGTACCTATCACATAACCGTCCATTTTAATTAAAACAATATTAGCGCATGTATTCCACCTTAAAATTGACTATTGTCACTTTTACGGCAATTATCCCGAATTTCAGCTCGCTAACTTGATCCGATTGAAAAAAAAGTGGGGAGGTGAGGGATTTCTAAAAAGCACTGTATGTCATTTGTCTAGTTTTTTTTTATCAGATTTACAAATAGATGTTGTGCGTCGACTGACCGTTTACCTTAATAATTATTGTGATGACTCGAGTTATATAATTGTCTTGTGATGCTCTTTAACATTTGTTTATGCCAAAAAAATCACATAAATCCTACACACGTCACATTTATACCAAGGATGTTTTTCGGAAATTGCTCAATTTTTTTAGTTCCGTGAACACATGGATACATGAAAGTTGTCACTTTGTACCAGCTCAAGTATTGTAGTGAGAATAATTCAGCCAGGTCGAGTCATCACAAAATATCGCAACTGCAATTAACAGCACAAAGATTTTTTTTTAAATTTATCTTCGGAAACGTACAGAGTTGTTCAACAAATATAAACTTATTTTTCCATTAAAGGTACATACGAGGGTTGTCTCAAAAATAGGGTTCTCACATTTTTTTCAGGCACAAGGAATTTTTTAGTTGAAAAAACCAATTTACCATTATAAACGTTGTTGTTAAAGCCTTTTTTTCTACATAGTTGTCACTTTTTCTACGCAGTTTTTTCCATCTTTTCACTTGATTCAGTCCTGCGCACGATACACTTACACTGAAGATAGGATATTACGCATGTGGGCGGGGCTTCGTGACGTCACCCGGAGAGTTGTCGGCTCGTGGTTACCAGCGGCAGGTTTGTCGTAACGTTACTGCAGTGCACGTGTATCGTGGTTAATACTATATAGTGCGATCTGTTGGTGATTTTTGGTGGGTTTGTGACTTTTTAAATTAGTTATACATACTTTATATACCCTGTGATGTTAGTAAATTGATAAAAATGCGGTGCGCTGTTGTGGGATGTAATTCCGACAATCAATCTAAACGGAATCCTTTCCAACACATGAAGTTCCACAGTTTTCCTCAAGACCCAAACCTTAGCAGAAAACGGCTGCATCATACAAAAAGAAAAATCAAAGTTAATGTAAAAAACGCTAGGATTTGCTCGAACCACTTTTGTGAAAATGCATATAAGGTCAATTTGAAACATACCCTTTTGAGTTACACCCCTAAAAGATATCGTGCTCTAAAAGATGATGCCATTCCTATGGAACATTGACTGCCCTGAAAAAGCTAAGAAACTATTTTTCAGGTGAAGGATGTTCTTCCGGATTACAGAACTGAGTAAAAGTTTGAAAGACCAGAAAAATCGTGAAAGGAAATGGAGAAAAATTGGGGCTTAGACTAAGTCATTGCTATTTATTGTTATACTGCCAGCTTGCTGCAAATGTGAAATAAGGATGAATTAATGTAGTGCAGTATTAGCGTCATGAGCATGTTACTCCTGCTCCACAGAACATACTAAAATATGGGTAATGTAGAAAAATCTTGCTTTTACAGTAAAGTGACGATACACGCTCTAACGCTCTATTGTGGAGCTAGAAAGCCGTTCAAGCTATAACCTGTGAGATAGGAATTACAATGTTGAAATGTTTTATTAAAATCCGTCATTTTGTTTTGCATGAAATTTTAATGTAGATTGTGTCGCGCGCACCGCTAAGACGAATCCAGCGACACTTCATATGTGAAAATTCGACCAGCCGTTTTCCATATCAACCCAAATGATAATCACTCTCCGCGTGACGTCATGCGCGCCGGCGTACGAAGATCGAACAGCGGGGCATCCGTACACTGAGTCCTTCGTTTGTTGCGATGTTGGGTCGATGGTGGGGGAGCCGCCAAACGCGAAGGTGTTGCCAGACTCCGCGGCAAAGTTACATCGTTGGGAACACTATTTTTCAAACAACCTTCGTATATCACTAGGATATTTACTGCCAAATTTGGTAAATGAATATTCGTGCTCACAGAATATTTCAGTACTTTTTCATTTTTTTAAGCATGCATTCACAAAAATAAATAATTGCTAAGTTATTCAAATTTTTGTTTCACATCTTTGAAGAATTCGAATCCAAAATATTTTTATTTGAAAATATTCTGTTATCACTACCGTAAACGCGGAAATATTTATTGAGGGTTTTAGTACATTGTAAACAGAAAAGATAATACCTAGTTCACTTTTGTGATACAGTACCAAAGATGTATAATTATTGGCATACATTAGAGGTTAATTTTATTTAGTATTTTATCTCATAGCTAATTATTGGAAACAGTAATTATTACATTTGCAGTAGGTTCAATATGTAGTACTGTGAAAATGAAAAAAATTAAGTTTTCTTTAACTCCCTACGAGCTATACAAGTTGAATTTATTATAGTCTTTTTCAGGAAAAACCCCCACCCTAACTTATTTTAATTGGTCAAGTCAGCCGGCTGAAATTCAGGACGATGAAATTGACCTTTTGGAAGGGTTGATCTGAATATGCTTTAAAATATGATACTTTTTATTTGAACAAAAAAATTAAACATTTCGAAAACAATTTTTAAATATGATATTACATATTGCTTTTTGAAAAGCACTGTATATTCGTTTTTGAAGTAATTTCAGTTACGTTATAGGTAAAGATGTTTACCCTGTATGACAATAATCATTTCGATAATACATATTTTTGTTTGCTTGTTTGAAAGTACAATAAACTAGGTAATATTTTTTCATATTCCACTTGCAACGACACATTTTGTTACTATATAAAAGTGATTTGAGTAGTGTATTTTGCTTCTTAATTTGTTTCACGAATAAATATTTTTTGTACAACTGTTGAACATATTTTTTTAATTTCAAACTATGGTGGATGGTAGACGGTCCCTGACTGTCGAACGCGGAGGTACCACCCGGCGGATCTCTAAGGCGGGGCCAGAATGTGTGCATATTACGAGGGATGTCTTTTAAGTTTTGCATATGGAAATAAAACAACACGGTAGGTAGTTTTAAATGACTCTATTGTTTTTCGAAGTATTCTCCATCCGCTCGAACCAATTTTCGAAGCACTTATTCCACTCGTTTGCTGGCAGATCCAAAACGGCATTTTTGAATGCGTCAACTGCTTCTTCTGGTGACTGGAACCTTTGACCACCCAGTCTGTTTTTAATTTTTGGGAAAGTAAAGAAATCGTTAGGACTTAGATCGGGACTATATGGAGGATGGTCCAATAATTCCACGTTCATGTTACATCTGATGAAGATTAAAGTTGACCTGGAACCATAAGCTATAGCACCCCAAACCATAACTCCAACAGTGTGATGAACATGTCTTTCAACAAAAAACTGTGGATTCCTCCTTTCACCACATCGCCTTCTAACCCTGGCACGACCATCGTGCATGCCTAAACAAAATCGAGACTCGTCACTAAAGACAATACTGTTCCATTCCTGATCCCAGAGTGACCGTTGTCTGCACCACTCAAGGCGATTACGTCGGTGTTCTCGAGTTAAAGGGAGGACCCAGTGTGGCCGGTATGAAAACAATCCAAAACTTCTCATTCGTCGGTAAACACTTCGCATGCCAATAGGTCTTCCGTGTTCTGCAAACCATTCATTTGCAATGGACCTGGTAGTGGAGAAACGGTCCCTTAAGGCCAAGAATCTTAGGCGGCGATCTTCACGGTCTGTTGTTCTACGGCGGCGTCCAGTGCCCCTTGCTCTTTGCGTACGGCCTTCTCGAAGCCATGTCTGACAACACCTAACCATAGTGTCTACACTTCTTTGCACTCTAACTGCAATTGCCCGAAAAGAAAGTCCAGCTTCCCGAAGTCCCACTATACGGCCCCTATCAAACTCACTAAGTTGACGAAATCGTACAGGTCTCCGTACTCTAGGCATCGTAACCGATCGTAAAGGATGTCAAGAACCAAAATCCGCCAACGTTGATTCTTTACTGCGTCTGAAATATTCATTTTTAGAGCGTTAGTGAATTAAAAAAAAAAGCCTTATAAAAACCGGAATGTCCAACTGATAAGGCTGAAAATTTTTTCACTTGTTATTTACAGTAAGGTAAATACATTCACCAACTTTTATTAAAATAAAACCATTTAAACTGGGTGTTCGGATTTATATGTCAGTATACAAATAAAGCAGTGTTTTATTTGTCGAATAAGAATTAGGTTTTGAAATCTGTATACCCCATTAACTTTTAGATTCAAAGTTTGGCAGAAAGTGGTTCCCCGATCGCAATATCATTTATTTTTGTTATTGAGTTGTTAGAGTCGAATGGTTTTCCATAGAGGATTTGCGTATCTCAATTCGAACAAAAATTTGTTTGCCCTGATAGGCTGGGACACCTAAATTCCTAGGCGGCGATTCGGGTCTGAATTGAAACATGCGCAGCGTAGTCGAAGCAGTTTCAATAAGAACATGGAGAATTGAAATAAAATTAAGAGTTATAATTTATATCTTTATTGCTAAATTCTGTGGAAGTACATCAATTTAATCATCTTACATATAGTAAAAGTACTTCTGTTCTTGTATTCACTATAGTACAAGATGCCTGAGAAAAGCAATAAATAAAATGTCTAAAATAATCAACAAGTAGTAAGAAGTTAAAGCTTAAAGCTCTAATTATATAAAATATTTCAGTAAGAATATCGTATCTACAGATCACGTTTGGATATTTCAAACATTCTGAAGGCCAGAATATATGGCTACATCTTCAGAATCAGTCTAACAGACTTTCTGGACTCTTCCTACTTGAAATCACATTTCATAATTATCTTTGAACGTAATCATTCAATAAATATTTAGAGTATTGCATCATATACAAAAGAAATGCTAAAATGTTGAATATGTGAAGGCTATACATGTTATGTAAATTTGCAAACTTGGTACGACTTAAATCAATATTTGTTAAATAAGGATCAAAGGCACTGTACTCTTGATAAACAAAACGTTAGTTCATATTTTAATGATGTTAATGTAACATCAAGTTGCAAATATCACCAACAAACAATCGAGTTATTGATCACTATACTCACTGAGCTGACTAGTTTTGGTCAACATTTTCACATAATGTGCTGCTAAAATATTCACCTGATGCTACTGTTGAAGCATTTGAATTTCCTACATCAACACAGCGAATATAGTAATACGTGTAATCACAGCCATATTAATGATCCAGCTTCAAGCCATTTTCTTTCTTCTCTTTGGAATGGGCGACCATGAGGAATGGTACCTTGTGTTCCAGGGTCATGTTGTTGTCTGGAGGCAAGCCCAAGCACGCCTTCATGACATTTTCAATGGCTGCCCTCTGTTTGGCCAAGGCGTTGACCACAGGAGTACCTGAAACAACAAGAAATGTTGTGAATGGTTTTCCATAAACCAGTCATAGGCTATACGCATCTTGTTACATTTTCATTTTCTCATAAATGGTTCCCAATAGAATGATTGTAACATTTAATATACGAGGGTGGTCCCAGAAGTACCCGACCCAACGAAGAAAACACAAAAATTTTGTAAAAAAAAATATTTGTTTTTCAACATAATCTCCTTTGAGCTCTATACACTTTTCCCATCGATGTTCAATAAGTTCGATACTCTTTTTATAATAAGAACTGTCTTGCTCCACAAAATAGCCATTAACTGCCGACATCACTTCCTCATCTTTGACCACTGAGCTAATTTTTCAAGTTTGGAAACAGAAAATAATCCGAGGGGGCTAAATCTGGTGAATAGGGTGCATGAGGTAGCAATTCAAACTTTAGTTCGTTAATTTTGGCCATTGCAATAACGGATTTGTGAGCTGGTGCATTGTCTTGATGAAACAGCACTTTCTTCTTAACCAAATGCGGCCGTTTTTGCTTGATTTCATCGCTCAAACGTTGCAATAAGTTCGCATAATACTCGCGTTGATAGTTTTACCTTTTCAAGATAGTCAATGAAAATTATCCCACGCGCATCCCAAACAAACCGACGCCATAACCTTGGCTGCAGATGAAACGGTCTTCGCTTTCTTTGGAGCCGGTTGTCCCTTTTGAGTCAATTGTTTTGATTGTTCTTTCGTCTCGGGTGTGAAGTGATGGACCCATGTTTCATCCATGGTTATAAAACGACGCAAAAATTCTGCTTTGTTGCTGTAAAACTTCGCTAAACACTCAATTGAAACATCTTCACGACACTGTTTTTACTCGATTGTGAGCAATCGCGGCACCCATCTTGCACACAGCTTTCTCGTGTCCAAATTTTCACTTAATATGCGATGAACAGCACTTTTTGAAATGTCTACTATGTCTGCTAGCTCGCGCACTTTCAGTCGACGATCATTCAGTATCGCTTTGTGAATTTTCTTCACCATTTCTGGAGTCGTCACCTCATTTGGTCGACCACTGCGATGCTCGTCTTGGCAGCTCATACGGCCTCGTTTAAACTCTGCTACCCGATATTTTACTGTTGTAAACGAATGCACAGACTCGCCTAGAGTAGAATCCAGTTCAGCTTTTATATTGGTTGGGCTGAGGCCTTTGAAATAAAAGTATTGACCACAAACCGATGACCAATTTTCTCCATTTTCACAAATTCACCAAAAACGTTCAGTATTGATGGCTGCCAAACAAATACTAAACAACGTGGCGTCTTCAAACTTGACACATATGCTTTATGGGTTGCATACTTTCTAATACAATGATATTTTTCAAACGACTATCGCCATCTCTAGGTCAGGCCGGGTACTTCTGGGACCACCCTCGTATCAAGCACCCCACGCTTTTTATTTTGAATAGAATTATTCTTTTAATAACTTAAATTTTATTTTGAGGTCGTTAATTATGATTGATTATTCGACCATCTACTACTGTAATATTAACTCTTTGTGATTAAAAATTATTTTCTACGTTTTAGTTCGGTTAGTTATAAAAGCGTTTTTTTTTTGGTTTTTTAAACTATTATTTATTAAGATTTTGCAGAACCTTCAAGTTTCAGCTTTTGTAGTGGAAAATGTTTTGGGTAATGTATGGTATTTTATTTTGATACATTGTTGAACATCTTCACCTGATTCTTAAAATCTGAGACTAGCATCAAGACACGATATAAAAATATACTAAGTGACATATAAATCCGAACACCCAGTTTAAATGGTTTTATTTTAATAAAAGTTGGTGAATGTATTTATCTTACTAATCGCTCTAAAAATGAATATTTCAGCCGCAGTAAAGAATCAACGTTGGCGGATTTTGGTTCTTGACATCCTTTACGATCGGTTACGATGCCTAGAGTACGGAGACCTGTACGATTTCGTCAACTTAGTGAGTTTGATAGGGGCCGTATAGTGGGACTTCCGGAAGCTGGACTTTCTTTTCGGGCAATTGCAGTTAGAGTGCAAAGAAGTGTAGACACTGGTTAGGTGTTGTCAGGCATGGCTTCGAGAAGGCCGTACGCAAATAGCAAGGGGCACTGGACGCCGCCGTAGAAAAACAGACCGTGAAGATTGCCGCCTAAGATTATTGGCCTTAAGGGACCGTTTCTCCACTACCAGGTCCATTGCAAATGAATGGTTTGCAGAACACGGAAGACCTATTGGCATGCGAAGTGTTTACCGATGAATGAGAAGTTTTGGATTGTTTTCATACCGGCCACACTTTGTCCTCCCTTTAACTCGAGAACACCGACGTAATCGCCTTGAGTGGTGCAGACAACGGTCACTCTGGGATCAGGAATGGAACACTATTGTCTTTAGTGACGAGTCTCGATTTTGTTTAGGCATG